TCAAAATTCAAAATCAAAATTCAAAATTCAAAATTCAAAATTCAAAATCAAAATTCAAAATTCAAAATTCAAAATCAAAATTCAAAATCAAAATTCAAAATCAAAATTCAAAATCAAAATTCAAAATCAAAATCAAAATTCAAAATCAAAATTCAAAATCAAAATTCAAAATTCAAAATCAAAATTCAAAATATGAAATCAAAATCAAAACGAGGGAAAAACTTTATACTGTAAGAGATTTTGTTGACATCCATCTCTCCTCCTTCCCCAGATGCGATGCCGTCTGGCCTGGTTGGGGCCACGCGAGTGAAAAACCCGAGTTACCCGAAGCCCTAGCGAAACATGGCATTACTTTCCTCGGACCCCAACCTCGCGTTATGCGCTTGCTTGGTGACAAAATCTATGCCAACATCATGGCCCAGACGGCTGGTGTCCCCTGTATCCCATGGAGTGGTGACGGCCTGATCAGTAAGGATGTCGAGAAATTCACAGATCTGGATGATCTGTTCCATCGTGCTTGCTGCCACGACGCAGAGGCTGCGGTGAAAGAGGCAGAACGTATCGGCTTTCCAGTCATGCTCAAAGCCTCCGAGGGAGGTGGTGGAAAGGGTATCCGCAAGTGCTTGAATGCGGAAGACGTGAGAAGCAACTACCAACTGTGTCAGATGGAGGTTATCGGGAGTCCGATCTTCATAATGAAATACAGCGCAGGCGCATGCCATTTGGAAGTGCAGTTGCTTTTATGAGAAAACTTCTGGTAGATGAAATTAATAACAGGTGAATGTTGCATGACCATGATGATGAATGATTTCCTGTGGTTATGAATAAAGTAAAAAAAGATTTGTTCGTCTTGTGAATTTTATTTTTTTTAGGAACACGTTCGATTCATTCACGTTCACCTGACAGACTAATTCTTGTGAACATCATGATTCTTGTCCTCGTGATTTTATCCCTCTAACTCCCGGCGACGAGCATGGCAATGTTTGCAGTTTGAGTGGGCGCGATTGCTCTACTCAGAGGCGTTTTCAGAAGATCTTCGAGGAAGGTCCTCCAACCGTCGCAGATCCAGACGTCTTCCATGAGATGCAAATGGCCGCTTGTAGATTGGCCAAACAGGTTGGCTATCGCGGTGCAGGAACGGTCGAATATTTGTATGACCCGAAGAAAAAAGCAGGTGCGTTTTTGGAACTGAATCCGCGTTTGCAAGTGGAGCATCCGGTGACGGAATGTATTACTGGCGTGAACATCCCAGCAGCACAGTTGCAGATCGGTATGGGCGTACCATTGCATCGCATCACCGATGTGCGACGGTATTTCCTCAGAGGTAGCGAGGAAGAAGAGGATGGCGGCGTTGCAACGTCGTATGGTGTGGCAGATGTAACACGTGGTCTGCTGGACACGAGGGAACTCGACTTCACACGCAAAGTTCCGGTGTATCGTCACTGCATTGCAGCTCGAATCACAGCAGAAAATCCTGAGGATGGTTTCTTGCCCTGCAGTGGAAAAATTAGAAAAGTCGACTTTTCGCCGACACATGGTAATTTTTACTCATACACGATGTCCTCGCTTCGGGTTTTTTAAGATCCGAAAATATAGTACAATAGGATCAACCATGTTCAACATGTTCTCCCACCTTATTTAGTTGATGCAAAGAGAAGTTAAATCGTTGATTTCCACATCCTCCCACACGACACAGAATCCGTCTGGGGTTACTTTTCCGTCGCGACCCCTGGTGCGGTCCATGAGTTCGCCGACTCGCAATTCGGGCATGTGTTTTCTATCGGCCGTACACGCGAAGCTGCTCGTAAAGCCTTGATCATCTCCCTGCAACATCTCCATGTCGAGGGTGAGATCCGTACTACTGTGGACGTTCTACCGAAGTTGCTCAAACTGACCCGTTTCGTGGACAATCAAGTCGATACTGCTTGGCTTGATGGGCTCATCACGAACAAGGACATCGCGAGACTGATGTCGGTGCCGACGAATCTAGGTCCTGGAGCGGCGAACGAAAACCTTGTTTGGGATACGTACTCCGACGTTGGCAGTGAAGACCAAGTTAGCATGTCGGAATTACGCTACGACCACTTTATGGGCGCTGGATCAGCGACCGGTATGTCAACTTCAGCGGCTTCCCCATCTGGACCTCTGAGAGGTAGTCCTTTGTCCTCTGTTTCCAACATGCCACGAGGTGCGCGAGCAGGAAGGTTGGGTGCGCGTAGCGCGGGGACGTCTGGGTCTATGGATCACAGTCTGAGCATGTTCCTGAACTGCGACGACTTCGTGCTTTACGCAGCACTAGGAAAGGCTTTGCATCTATCGCAGGAGAAGATGAACGAATTCAATTATGGCAAGAAGATGACACAGTAGACCTAATATTTTTTGTACTGAAGCAGAAGCAGGAATGGCATTGCCAGGTGGAGATGTTTAAGATTTTCGCTTTTCAGAACAACATATTCTTTGATGAATGTTTGCTGTTTTTCAACAAAGCAGCATTTGCTATTAACTTCACGACAGTTTCAACAACTCCTCACAACTTTGTCGAGGGTGGAGAAAGCTCTTCTAATCCTCAGAGACCCTTGGCAAGGGACAAATGGTCCACTCTTTTTTACCTGTGTACCTGTTTCCGGAGATTGTCATCGTCT